CAGTTTGAGCCTAAAATGAGTCACATTACTCAAGTGAAGAGGATCTTGAAATAAATTAATGGTACTAGTGATTATGGCATGTTGTATTCTCATAGTACTAATTCCATACATGTACGGTATTGCGATGCAGACTGGGCAAGTAATGCTGATGATAGAAAAAGGACTTCTAGAGGATATTTATTTTTGGGAAAAAATCTTATATTTTGGTTCAGTAAGAAGCAAAATTGTGTGTCCTTGTCTACAGTTGAGCTTGAGTATATTGCAACAGGAAGCAGTTGCTCTCAGTTGATTTGGATGAAACAAATGCTAACGAAATATAATGTCAACCAGAATGCCATGATATTATATTGTGACAATCTGAGTGCAATTATCTAAGAATCCCATTTAACATAGTAGGATAAAGCATATTGACATTTGTCACTATTTTATTAGAGATCCTGTTGAGGACAAAATTGTTTCTCTTGAGCATGTGGCCACTGAAAAGCAACTGGCATATATATTTACTAAGGCTTTGGATGCAAATCAGTTTGAAAATTTAAGGGGAGAATTTGGAATTTGTATTTTTTAGGAGCTATAGCAATTACTATTGTGGAGGCGTGCAACTGATATTTTCCCTTCCCTTTGTTTAGTAGTGCACGAAACTCTAGGGAAATCATTACAAACTTTCGATATTTTTTCCAACACGCCATCATGTCTCTTTTACCTACTCCATTGATTCCGTTCTCCCTAACCTTAGTAAACTGTTCAACATTGCTCTTCTTTTCTCTCATCTCCCTACTGTCAATATCAACTCAAAATTTACCAACAAGATGTCTAAAGCTTCAGTCTCAACACCCAACAAAAGCTCAAAAAATCCATCGACCCTAACTCCATCAAAGGCTAGGGTTATGCATGCTAATGAGAAAGTGGATTCTTATGATGTTATCACTGCTAACATTCCCTTCTTCATTGTTCCAGGATGTGTTCCAACAAAAGGGATGACTAAATCTCCTGCTGTGAAAAAGGCTAAGCCTTCAAATGCAAGTGAATCCTCTACTCCCTCTGTGCCAGTTTAAATTCCTCCTAGTGATGTTAGAAATGTTGAATCCTCTGTTGTTGTCAAGAATCCTCACTTTATGACAAGTTTATATCTTCATCGTATCCAAATCCCTAATATCGAACATGATATTGATACTTCTGCTAAAGATTCTATTGTTTCAATGTAGTGGGTACTGTTGGAACAACTGAGAAATCCATCTCTGAAATGGTTAGTCTAGATAACCCTAGAGCTGAAATGACCCTAGGCCAATCTAGTTTGAATGATGTTGTTAATGAAGTTGTTGATATGTCCCTCTATAATATTATGGTTACTGAATGTGAGACTAATGTTGTGCCGGATGTCACAACATCCTTGGGCCAACCTGATCAAAGCCTTGTCTGAGGAGGATGTTAAGGGAAATGTGATTGGTGATGAGGAAGATGAAAATGATGATGCAGATGGTGATTCTGATGAGGAAACATAAACCAGTATTGACATCTGATATATTTATTTGTTGTTTCTTCTAAACTTCTTTTCATTTATGGGATATGCCCTGGGTATTTGTGTACATTGTGTGCTTTTGGTCTGTAACCCATCACTCTGTGATCTGCTACAATGATGTGCCTTTTCTTATCTTGGTGATTGAATGGTAGTTATGTCAAAATTATGGCTAAAAAGGGGGGAGTAGTGTGTGGTTATTGTGGTATTTTAGTTTGGCATATATTTGATTTTTGTATTTTGGTATTTTGCCCCTTAAGAGGGAGTAGTACTTGAAGGGGAGTAGTATTTGTTACTGTGTGCTTGTTTTTTTTCTAGCTTGATGATGCCATGATTATTGAGTGCTAGTTTTTTTTTTGCTGTGATGTCATATCAAATGTCTTGACATCTTGACTGTGAGAATTTATTTTTCTCTGAAGAAGGTTCTATTTGCGAGAGTTTATTTCTTTTTTTGTTGTTAATATTCTGTGAAGCTGGGTTTTATCTTTTCTGCTGTGTGTGCATCTGATGTGTGTTGGTGAAGTTCCAATTTTATTGTGCATTTTTACCTTCTTCCCTCCCATTATTGGTTGTTAGTGAAAGTTTTTTTTGGTATTTGCAAGATGAACTATGCAAAGATTGTTTTAGCCAAAATTTACCAAAAGGGGAGATTGTAGGTTGATTGTATTGTGATTGGCAGCATTTTGTTAAAACAAGTGAAATAGCAAGGTGTTAGACAAGATGTTTTGACATGCTTGTATGACATTGTGGCGTGCTGTGGTTTTTGCATTCTCGGAAGATTTGTTTCAAGTTTCTCAGAAGATTTGATTTACGTATACTGCAGTCCAAGATGCGTGTATAAAGATTTGATTCTCTAAAGATTTGTTTCAAGCATAAGATATATGAGGATTTGTTTCTTAATATTGGATGTCAAAACATTTAAGGAAACATTTGATTATGTTCCGAAGATTATGCAGAAGATTGGGCAGCTAACTATTTGGATCTGCTGAGTGTATAATCCCAAGCCCATGTTATTCTCAGGCTATTTATATGGAGACTCTAAATCTAAGAAGACGATCGAGCTGCATATGTAATAGTGTCTATTAGGGTTTAGTTTATTCATTGTTATTTGTGAGCCACTCTCGTATCACTTAGATGCTTGAGCTGGATTAATCTTTGAGTTGTAATTGTAAATCACTCATAAGCTTTTAAGCAAGAGTGAATTTTGTTTATTGGAGTATGTCTTCTATTTGTTTGTTATCATTGTCATCATTGTTGTGTGATTGAAGGGAAGTGAGAAGGGTCTCATATCTAGGAGAGTCTTAAATAGAAATACCACAGGTAATGATTAGGCGCGAAGGTTGTAAACCAGAGGTTTCTTACATAGGACTTCAAACTAATACTATTATAGTGGATTTCCTTTCTAGCTTGGATGCCTCAGATGTAGGTGATGTTGCACTGAACTGGGTTAACAACTATCTGTGTTATTTACTTCCTGCAATTCATTTTAATATTGTAATTGTTTGTGTTGTTACAATTTCTTGATTTCGATGTCTTGACATCGTATACAACATCTCTTCTGTTAGTGCCAAAACTTCAACTCATACTTTGACGCACACAAAAAATCACTTAATCAATTTTACTCACCCAAACAAGTTTTAACACAAAAGCACTTATTTTAAACCATCTTTTGACTCAAGATAAAAATTCTCACCATCTTTAATCACTAACTCGCTGCTTTACTCACCAAAACTCACCAATTCACACCAATTTCATCATAATTCAATTGATTCTTGAATACCACAACAACATTCAATACACATGAACATAATCCATATTATTGTATATCAAAATAGTATTATCATCACAAATCGAAAGAAAAACTGAAATCCTATTCTACCTTTTCATCACACCCCGATTATTGAAACAAATTTTCACCCTTACCTTGTAATTCTGCAAAATTCAGCGAAGATGATGATCAAGGATCTCTTCTCTCAAGCCATAACACACTTTCTCCTAAAGCCTCGTTTTCTCTATTCTCTTTGTTTCACGTATTATAAACTCTAATCCCTCACAATTCTCTAAAAACCAGTCCCCTCATTAGACTATCCCCATCTTAACCTTAATATTTTTCCATAATGTCTATCTTGTCCTCACTTACTCATCATAAATCCCATATTGCCCTTAATTCCTCTACACCCTATTTTTTATTTAATTTATTTATTTTATTTAAATGGTATAACCAATTATTATTTTTACTTAATAAAAATAATTTCTAAATTATTCTATATAACCATAATTATGTTATGATGCCCCTAACTCAAGGACTCACACTCCGCAAGCAAGTCAACAATTAAATACATCATAAAAGATATAATTAATTAAATAAAATACGGTAAAATATTCTATACGTAAAACGAGATTATAACACTTAATAGATAATCTTAAAATAGGAACCCAAACCGCAACTTGTTCTATGGCATAACTAGTCGGCCATAAGTTAGATTTCCATTCCCTCACTGGTAAGTAGTGATTATATATGAGCCATGACCCCATTCATCAAGGCCGTATATTGATCCTCCTCATAGGTGAATGTCACAAGATAATAATCCTGACCTAGGTCCACGATACTCAAGACTCCATTCCTTGCACACATTTGGTTCAGACGGTTCTCTAGGACTTTGAATCATATTCGTCTCCCGCCATTTTTGCAATGACTCCTTTCTTCCAAGGCACAACAATTCTTCGCTTCTCCTTCACCGAAATAATGTTTTCAGGGCATTCATAGTCTCCAAATTTGTGTTCTTCAATCTTTAACTCCTCAAAAGCATATACGATCTCCACATCTCTTCCTTGTTTGATTGACTCTTCTTTTCCCATAAATGTTTCTCCTATGACCATTGCCTTATACGAGATATGTGATCCTCATTAATTGATAGACAGACTGTGTTTCTCCGATCCGATTTCCACTTCTTTCACTCGCTTTATACTTCAAGCTTTTTAGTATTCTTCATCAATTAGAGCCTAATGATTCTTATTATTTTGCTCTAACAAAGCACTCATGAGTGTATAAATGACTCTGACGTAAAATTAGAAAAAATAATTTAAAAATATATATAATTTTAGCATATCTAATCAAAATTTCACTTTAAAAATGAATAAGTGAAACAAATAAATATCCTTGTGCAATTATGAGTTTAACTAATTGCATGACATGTAAGGAACTATATTATTACCCATTACTTATATTAATGATAAAATATTAGTTAATTAAATATTTTGATTAAGAATGATCATTACACTAATCTCCACTCTAGCATCAAAGATAGAATCACCGTCATCTCCTATTTCAACTAAAATCAAAAATCCTAAATCGATGTTGAAAACCTCAGCGAAGATTGTAAACCCTTCTTCACACTCCACTTTCTCAATCCTTATACACTTAACCTAACCAAACGTCGTCGTTTAACAAAAAAATTCCTAAATTATCAAAACCACTTTCTCAATGTCGGCCAACGGTGGCGCCGCCATCGCCGGTGGAAGCCGCAACCGTAATCGACACGTCGGCGATAATCGTTTCTACAGTCCACCGCCGCTTCGTAAACACAGAGAGAAACAAGAACAACAAAGGTCGTCGCTTTCAAGAACTTCATCGGAGAATAGACCCGGTTCTTCTTCCGATTGCTCGATTTCGTCGCGTGCCACATCTGATATCTCTAATTTGGATCGGTTTTTGGAGTACGTTACGCCCAATGTTCCCGCACAATATCTTCCTAAGGTTTCAATCTCATCACCTATAATTCAATTCAATTACGCTTTATTTGAGTTCAATTCAAGTTGCATAAATGAATTAGTGAATGTTTGATTCATAAATGAGTGGAAATTAAGATTTCTCTTGAATTTGATAGTATAAAGTGCTGATTTTTAAGGGTTGCGTCGGTTATTTAGTTTGTTAACAAAGGACATTTTGGCTTATTTGGGTGGAATTTGTTGTTGTGTTGTGTGGGAATGAACAGAGTTCAAGGAGATGGAAAACTAAGGAGGCGGATTTACTGCCGTACTATGTACTTGGAGATTTGTGGGACTCTTTTAAGGAATGGAGTGCATATGGGGCGGGTGTTCCTTTGGTGTTGAATGGGAATGAATCTGTGACACAGTATTATAATGTCTCTTTGTCTGCCATTCAGCTTTATATTGATCCATCAAAACCTTCCACGCGGTTAAGGTTAGTATGTTGCCTTGAAATGAAACATGGTTTTCTAAACGTTCTTCTTGAATGATTGACCAAATTGCTTTCGTTTTGGCATTTGTACTGAAATTTTGTTGTTTTTTAACTCTATTTTACTATTTGCTTTTCTTATGACTATTTGCATAAGTGTACACTGCATTTATCTACTGATGCATCTTATTCTGCATGATGATGAGTTAATGTATTGGTAACGCCTAACTGACAACCAGTCTTATCAAATAAAGGTGCGATAGCGCTAAAGATTAGCAGGTGTTGGAAATTGCAAAGCTATTGTAGTTTCACTATGAGGGCGATAGCAGTTGTAGCAACAACAGTGGGAAAAAGAGAGTTTCAGGTTTTTTTTTGTTGAAAAAAATACTAATAAAACTCAAGAGGCAGCATGTAAGTTGCACATGACTTATTTTTAGAATAGAAAATAGCTGAGTAGTCTATCCCGGATAGCGGCGCTGAGCGGCCGACCCCAAAAAGGGGATAGTGTATAGTGGGATGGCCGCTATTTGATATTATTTGGACAAATTACATGAATAATAATTATAATCATATAAAATGCATAGGGAAGAACAAAGTGCAAAGAAAGGTGAGGGAGGAACTTGTGATTTTTCTTTGGAACGGCTGAAGTGCAGAAACGTCGATGAAGGAAGGTTAGGGTTGAGTCTCAACTCAAATTTGATTGAAAAACCCAAAATTACCCTTAAAAATGTTATAAATGTAAGGGGTAATTTCAGTTTTTCATAGGGGAAAAGGATAGCAGGACAGAAACCGATCCGGACCAGAAACAGCTCCACCCCTATTACCCACTATTTACCCTATTGCGGTCGCTATATTGTTCTGCACTGTTAAGGCTCTTCCCATAGCAGACAGTCTCTGCATTGCTATAGCGGGATAGCGCTGCTATTGGCCGCTATTGACTACTGTGGAAAATAAAGAGTTGGAGTATTGTTACTCCTATAATCTCCCAATAAGCCTCTCAGTATGTAAGTTATCCGCTGCCTCCTTTGCCTTTCAATAAGTTTTTTTCATATCTAGTGAGACTTCGGAGAGCATCTGACATTTTATTAGTTTCAGTAATCATTAATTTAAATTAAGGGTTATATTCTTTTTACCAATTAAGCTTTTGAGTTTATATCGTGTCATTCTGTATACAGCATACCTTTTTATATGTAGATGATTTATTTCAACTGCTATAAGTCTTGCTCTATTTGCCTGCCTGCATCACTGTCCACTCTTTCACATAGTGGATTTTTGCCATTTTGTTATTTTCCTCGACACACTATTGATGATAATGCTAAGAACGGAAGGGTTTTACATATTGTTCTTTGGTGCGAGGCAACATTAAAAGGATTGCATATACATAGGCTATTATTAATCATCACATATCTACAATATTACTTTATCTGGTAGCTTGAAGCATAACTTCTGCGGATTTAAACATACGGTAATTAAATGTGACAGATAATAATATCACTAAAGTCTAAAAGTTCATGTTGATTTGCACATGGATGTTGTTTCTGATGCTGTCTGTATCCAAGCCTTCCAAAATAGCCACATATTTAAGAAATTTGATTATTTAACCTGAAAAAATGGGCTATTTTAAACTAACGTTCACTTTTGTCTACAAATAATCTCCCATGTCAACCCTCGTTGCTCATTCTTATTTTTAATGTCTAACTTATTCTTAAAATTTAACCCGGTGATACTGGCTTTTGTGAGGGTGGCTATTCTAAATAAAAGTATATAAACGCCGAGGATAAACTTTGATACCATCTTAGGCTTGGGATTGAGTTTAACCCATCCTTACAAAAAAATCAGCTCGTAAGGTGGACGTCCATTGGTTATAAACTCTCTTCATGCCTTATCTATTATAAATGTGGGACTAGGGTTTTCCCCACTAGCTACTCATTTTTGTGCCATGGAGACACTTTGGCAGATTATAGAAAACATTGTCTGAATAAGAATAACTGCATGTTGAAGGACAACATATAAGTGGGGATGGGAGGAAAGACTAATTAGCTTAGGAATTCACATACCTTACTGTCCGGTATTCATTATCTTTCATGGTTTATTTCCTAGATCAATACGTGTATATCAGGTTATTTAGTCTACAATGGGTAAGCCCGTTGCTGTTAAATTAGATGGTTTGAATTGCTTGAGAGAAATTACTCTCAGCTTTGTTATTTATAACCAAGTTATTACAATCAAATCTACAATTAGATCCCTTGATTATAGGAATAAAACCAACAATCCTAATCATATAGATATTTATTCAACAAACTATAATTTAGACCTAATACATACCTTGACACTCCCTTTCAAGCTAAAGCATACTAAGCTTTAGCTTAGTACCCGTTGAAAGAGAAGATCAAACCAAACTAACTAATATTGGAACCACAATGAATTCTCACAAACTGTATCCGAACAAAGCTCTGCAATGATATTTGGTTAAATATTGTCCTTTGTTTGAAACAACCAACTTAAGTGTGTGGATGGTGCTAGTGAATCAACATTGACCATATTGAACAACCAGACTACAAAAAAAGTTAAAAGGAAAACTAACTTAAGTGGGACATAACATCCGTGACTTGTGCCATAACATCCGTGACTGGTGCCAATGATTCAACTTTAACGTTGGTTAGACGAAGAGACTTCCAGAGAATATTGACAGTGTGCTGAGACCAATTATTGGAGCCCTCCATAGAGAGTTGGGAAAAGGCAAAGAGCACATAATGACAAAAGTGACTTGGGCAAATGATCAACATACAATTTGAACTGACTGAAAGACTTAACATATGACCACATATTCGACATAGATGTTGCTAGCTGATAAGAGTCTCACATCGGACAATATACGGTCTGAACATGTGCTTATAAGTGGAGTAATTCTCACCGGTTTTGAAGCCGCTTTTATAGGTTGAGTTAGACTCAACCCAAATTCTAACATGGTATTAGAGTCTGGTTAAGATCTGTTGGGCCACCTGCTTATCAGGTCACCTACCATTTATTTTCACGCTCCGAGCGTGAGGGGATGTGTTACGAGTCAGACATCGGATAATATATGACTTGAATATGTGCTTATAAGTGAGAACAATCTTTACCCTATAAGTCGTTTTTGAAGCCGATTTTGTAGAGTTGAGTTAGACCCAACCCAAATTCTAACACTATCCAACAACCTCAAATAAAAAAATGCACAAAACTGAACCAGTGAGAAATGCACTAACAAGACATTGTGAAACACTAAAAAGCACAATAAATGAGCGGGGTGTGCAAATACACACAGCGGCCAGAAAATATTGTGACCGAGAACCTAATTCATTAAAGCAACATGCATTGCGATGCAATCAGTGACAAAATACCAAAACACTGCAGAAAAGCTATCAAGCTATCAGGGGCAATCACAACCATAAAAATATGGGTAACGCTAACATGTGTCCTTAGGGCACATGTTAAGAGCTAAATAAAGTAATTTTATCTTGAAAATTCTGTATTGAATTAATTACACATATATAATTAATTATTTTAAATTATTTTCTTAACAAATTTTTTCTAATTGTAGGTTTCTTAACATGTGCCCTAAGGCAGATGTTAGCATTACCCAAAATCATAATAGTTTTCTCTTTTTCGAACCTTACTCGAAAAAAAGAAAACTATTATGATATTTCCAACTTTTAGGCTCAGTTTAGGAGTTAGGAGGGAAGAGGTAAGGAGGGCTCCGCTAAAAGAAAATTTAAAGAAAATATAGAGAAACATTTTTTGAAAGAATGATTTTATATAGAATGATAAATGAATGTTTATCATTAACATATTTTTTATTATTGGAATATTATAACAATATAGATTATATTTGAACAATTCATCTAAACCATCCAAAACCCTTTAAACACCTCCTTCAGTACTATTTTTTAGTTCCCCCAAACTAAGAATTTTGTATTATGAATAAAAATAAACCCTCCAAAATCTTCTCCACCTAAATCCGTCAATTTATTTCATCCAATCCTTCTCTTTTTTCAAAGGTCTCCCTTCCCTTCCCTTCCAAACTCCCAAACGAAGGCTAGGAAACTCCACAACGAAATAGTAGCTTGACAGTTAAAGGAGGATTGAACCAAGCTTTAGATACCATGTTAAATTAAATGTTTTAAATTGCTTGAGAGAAATTACTCTCAACTCTGTTGTTTATAACTAAGTGATTACAATCAAATCTACAATTAAGTTTGCCTATTAAAAAAAAAAATCAAAGCTAATTATAAAGATTCTTACTCAACAAACTATAATTTAAACCTAATACATATCTAAACAGTTGTATATTAACATGTAAGGAATGTGAGATACAAGGAATCTGGAATGGGAACAATCAGAAAGTGACTACTGAAACTCACCTCTTTTGCCATGTGCTATTAAATTGGTTCAATCTAACTCTGTTGGTGCTACAGCTAAAGAGTTTTCTTATCTTATCTCTCTACTTCTAGTTTATGAACCTGTAACAGTCTTTTTTTGGACATTTGGGTTTAATTTAGCACATGCTCTCACCGTGCACCACACTATGCAGCTCTAACACTATGCAGCTCCATTAAATACTTGTCAAACTTTCACATGTTACCACTATGAGAGTATTCAATCGTGCTGCTCATAGCCTTGTACCACTATGAGAGTATTCAATCATGCTACTCATAGCCTTGTTGCCTACTTCGCTGAATCTCATCCTACAAGCTCTAGAGAACATTCAATATGATGCATTTTGTATTAGTTTTATATTTACTGACACAATCATTTAGATGCCACGGGTTAGACTGACGGGACTTATTGTTTTACTCCCTCCGTTCCATATTATAAGCAAATTTCATCTTTTTAGATTTATTGAATAATTAATGTATCTGGTCTATATATATAGACCAGATACATTAATTATTCAAAATAAATCTAAAAAGGTGAAATTTGCTTATGATATGGGACAGAGTAGTACCTTTCTAGTATAATAATGTTTGATCTTATTTTGAAGCAAATGTATTGGCTTTCCATTTTAGTTGAATCAAAGACTTTTCTACCGTATTCCAGGAAATCCAGTCAAGAAAGCGACTCCGAATCAGCCAGAGAGACAAGCAGCGATAGTAGCGGTGGCCATTGTCATGAAAGAGGACCAAAGACCAATCACAGTACTAGGAATCATCTTAATGCATTGGATGCATGCAATCATGCTTTCGAAAGGGTCTCACTAAGTAAACCTGGTTCACCAAGTGAAGAGACTGAGAGCTGCAACCCTCCGGGTCAGCTTATATTTCAATACTTTGAGCATGAGACACCTTATAATCGCGAGCCAATAGCAGATAAGGCAAGATGTTATCCTTTGGTTGACTTGAACGTTGAGACTATATTGCTTTCTAACCTAACACAAATTCACATGGCTTGGCTCAGATTTCTAGTCTTGCAAGTCAATTTCCAGAGTTGAAGACATACTGGAGCTGTGATCTTTCGCCTGCGAGTTGGGTTTCACTGGCTTGGTATGTCGCTTTCAACTTCTTGCCCATCAGGTTATTGGGGTTTTTATAATGCACACAATAATGACTTCTAAATTATTTGTTGCCATGAAGGTATCCAATATATAGAATACCTACCGGTCCAACACTGCAGAGCCTGAGTGCCTGCTTTCTGACTTACCATTCCTTGTCAACAGTTTTACAGGGTATGTTTTGCTGTCTTTTGTTTAATTTATGTATCTGCAAAATCGTTGTAAATAGGGTTCAACTATAATAACATTTTGATCTTTGAATCAGGTTCAAATACAGAACCGCTTAACATCCATTATTCAAAAGGTAGGGACATATCCAAGCTATCATTACCGATATTTGGGCTTTCACATCACAAGTTCAGAATTTCTATCTGGGATCCGGACGGAGTTTCTGAATCTCAGAAAGCCAATTCTCTGGCACAAGCTGCTGAAAATTGGCTTAGGCTATTGCAAGTTACTCATCCTGATTACAATTATTTTTTGAAACATTATACATATTTGAGATAGCAGCATAGCATATGTAGTCCCTGCCTGGTTTCTGTTGTTCATTAAGTGAATATCTTCATACATAAACACCATAATCGCTTGCTTTTCCTAATATAAGCAAGCAGGGATGTTCCTTAACTAGGGGATTCTGAGGGGGAAGGAAAGGTATTGAAAATTACTCACATTTCATATTTAAATTGACCTGCTTATGATTACACAGAATGCAAAAAAAAAAACCTTTGACCAAGATTTTCTGCATCTTTTATGTTACTTGCCTTAGGATGATGACGAAAAAACCCAAGTTATACATATTTCACATGTTACAGCTTGTCTAATGCAATTGATAGTACATCATTATGGTGAGATGCAATTTTTACTATTAACAGATTTGGAAATGTTTGCAATATCACTTAAAGCTCAACATTTTTTCATGAAAACTTGATTATGTGATTTGCAGTATGTATTTCTAGATATTTTGGAACTTTTACCGTTTCATAGATTTTAAGCATGATTTTAACCCCCTAGATCAAGAGTAAGAAGTTGGACAGTACCAGACTGATTGTTGCACAAGAAAATAAACGATTTGCAAATATTAATCATAAAATTTGTGAATGGAATCCAATATAATTATGTGAATGGGAGAGGTTAAGAAAGAAAAAAAAAGAATTATTTTCATAGAAAAGGTTTTAAAAGAATTTATTTCTCTAATAATTAATTTTGTACATAATTTTTCTTTCCCTCTCCTCATAGTTAGTTTTCCTCACTACAAACTTAATTTTGATTAATGAAAACTATCATCCGAACCACTTAGTTACTTTACTTGATTTTAGTTATGAAAATATTATATTCAATCAAAAACTACAAATGGGAAGTTTATGGATAAATAAACATGATAGGTTTAACTTAAATGTTTTCCGCACATTCTGATAAAAGAGAAGTTAATTAATGAACAACTTGGGATCTATAACCTTTCTTGAAACTTTTATATATAAAAAATGTATATTATTTATACTATATACACATAAATAAAAGAAAGTAGAATACAACTCATTGGCAAAACAAGTAACATAAATACCTAGTGTTTGGCTTCAGTGTTGCAAGTTACAATTTTTAACCAATAATTAATATAAATTTAATTGTTGAAAATGTAGCAACACGAAGCTTTCATAGCTCAGTTGGTTAGAGCACCCGTTTAGTAAGCGGGAGGTCTTGAGTTCAACTCTCAATGAAAGCATGGATGTGTTTTTAATGGCTGTTGTTGTTATATTCAGTTATCTCAAGAGTGAGAATACAAATGCCCAATCCGAGTTTAATGGGCTTTTTCCTTATTAAATGGCCCAGCCCAATACTTTTTGGATTTTATCAAATCAATTTGTTTACTTGCTCCGCCCCCATGTTAGGAAAAAAGTATTTCATAATGTGGGGGCTTCTGCCTCGAATTTTATCTAGGATGTCATCAACAAGAAACACAAAGAGGACGAGCACAAGATGCAAGGTGTTTGAGATCTCTAGATGTGTTATGCATCAATTACTCATCTTCTTGGAACTATGTTTATTATGCATTAATTGCAAGATATTGTTTACTAGCAAAAGGAATGAGATCTACAAGCTTGGTTGGAGAAGTTGTCTGATAGTGATAAAAAAGTGAAGGACCTGGGCTTGATTATGAGAGGTTGAAGTTGAGGAAGTCCAATGTCTTTGATGAGTTCAAAAAGGAGAAGAAATTAAGGATTAGTGCAAAGATGTTAAAGATTGATGCAGCCTTTTAGCTTGCTACTGTTTTTGCTAAGCCATTTTTCCAAGTCTAGCTATATGCTTCTGATGTTGACATATTTAAGGTGATTTTTACCAAAGAAGTAAAAAATGGTGTGTATGTCGAGGTCATTGAAGAATATGAGGCCTAGCAAGAAAATAATGTTTTTTCTATAATCAAGGTTGGTGCAATTGATGTGGATGGTGACCTACACCAAGATGGTTGACGAGGAACCTGGATGTTGAAGTCTTAAAGGAGAAATTTCAACCAAGTGGCTTCACAAGTAGTGTTTGCCAATGTCTGGTATTCGGCTTCGTATGAAGAGCGTGATACAGTGTATTGTTTTTTGCTTTTCCATGAAATGACGTGTGATGGGGCATGCACCCAGTCAGAATCTGAAAAACCTGTCAAGGTGAGGTTTTTGTTGAAGTTGAATAATAATCCCAGTGCAGGAGCGCTTTTCAGGTAATGCATAATGCGGAAGGTAGCTTGTATATGAAGGCCAGGTGGAGCAACAAGATGTTGGCTCAATCTGCAAACAACAAAGCTAATATCATGTCGTGAATTAGTTAAACAATTAGCTTACCTATGAGACTTCTGAACTTGGTGTGATCTGGTATGGTTGGGGCATTATCACAGTGCAGAGTGTGACTGGGATCCATGGGTGTCGAAGCTAGTTTAACAGCTAAGAGGCTTGTTTGCTCCAAAACATCTGGACAATATTTCCTTTGGCAAAGGGAGATGCATGTATTGTTGAGAACAACCTCGAAGCCTAGGAAATATTTGAGATTACCAAGATCCTTGATGCTATAAGATTTGTCCAGAACCTGTTTTAAGTTATTGATTTCACACACAGAATTTCATACGAGGACCAAATCATCCACATACACAAGCACAACAATAAATGATATACATCAGTTTTCTTAGTGAATAAAGAATAGTCAGATTTGGATAGAAGGAAATCTAAGGATGCAAGAGTGTTAGTTAACTATAATTCCATTGCCTAGTAGCTTGTTTGAGCCCATGTGTGATTCTTTTCAGTTTGCAAACAAGGTTTTTAGTAGGAACTTTGAGTCCAAGAGGGATTTTCATGTATGTCACCATGTAAGAAGGTCGTGCTTATGTCAAGTTAGTGTATGAATCAGTTATTAGTGGAAGCTATGGACAGAAGTAAACGAATAGTTGTCATTTTAATAATTGGGCTGAAAGTGTCATGATAGTCTAAGCTCTCTGTTTGGTTAAACCCTTTAGCTACGAGTCGAGCTTTATACCTCTCAAGGGTACCACTGGCTAGGAATTTTAGTTTAAAGATACATTTACAATCAATGGCACACATGTTATGAGGGGTGGGTTCAATCCCAAGTATTGTTGTCAATTAGGGATTGGAGCTCATTATCAATGGCTCTTTTCCAGTTAGGGTCCAGGACAGCAGTGGAGTAAGAGGTGGGTTCAGAAATAGTGGATAATTTAAGGTTAAACATTTTATGACAATTGGATAAGTTAGAATATGTAATAAAGTGAGAAATAGAATATAAGAGATTATGTTTGGTGGAGAGATCTGGAGAAGCAATAGTACCTTGTAGAAGACTGCAGTGATAATATTTAAGGTATGAAGGTGGTTTAGATTCTCTGAAAGATTTCCTAGTAGTAGTTGTAGGGTTATGAGGAGCAGTAGGAGATGCATGAGGCTGTATGGCAGTCAGAGTAGGGTTGGTGGAAGGGGCTGGTTAAGGGGAAGGAATATTGGTTTCATGGGTGGGAGAGTTACTAGCAACAATAGGGATACTGGGTGGACTATAGGTTTTTATGTCATCAAGGAAAGTGTGATGGTTCATAGGGAATGTGGGTAGAGGTTTTTGTTTTGAGTGTGGATGATTGTCATTATAGAGAAATAGATTCTCGAAGAAAATAGTGTCACATGACAGAAAAAAACAGAACATGGCCTTTAACACCATGTTGATTACCTAAGTATATGTATTTATGGATCTAGGGTTAAGTTTTATTCTGTCTCTTAGAACTAGTAGTGTAAGCTAAACAACCAAATATGCGAAAAGCATTATAATCAAGGATATTTTTATACAGGATAGTAAAAGGTGATGTATGATGCAATAATCTAGATGACATACAATTAATAAGAAAAACATCATCACGCGCAAAACTGGTAGATGTGATTGAAATAACAAAGCACGAGTGACAATTAGTAAATGTTGGTGTTTTCATTCTACAACCCCATTTTGTTGGGGTGTGTTAACACACGAAGTTTGATGGATAATGTCGTGAGTTTGATAAAAAAGTTTTAAGGGTGAATTCAGGGCCATTTTTTTATCTTAATGTTTTGACACACATGAAATTGAGTTTTAACATAACTGATGAAGGATTGTATTAAGTGAGATGTTTCATATTTATTTTTCATCAGAAAAATCCAATAGAAACGAATGTGGTCCTCAACAATAGTTAAAAAGTATCTATGTCCAAGCATGGAAAGGGTAGAAAAAGGATCCCATATGTCCACGTGGAACAAATCAAAATATTTATCAGTTTGTGTGATACTATTAGAGAAAGATAGTCTTCTATATTTAGCAGCTAAGCAAGTATCACATGGGGTGGGGGATTTAGAAAATTGAGGAATATGAATTTTTTTATCAATATGAATTAAAATTTCATGAGATGAATGGCCCAATCTTTGGTTCCACATGTTACATTTATCAGCAGAAATAGTATGAATGTGTGAGAAAGTAGTGTGATTGTGTTGCAAGGTAGAAAATGTGAGAACATATAATCCATGAAGCAATTTAGCTGCACCAATCTTCTGTAGGGTAGGAATCCCCTGTATGAAGCATTGGTTAGAGTTAAATATGATGTTACATTTAAGGTTTTTGGTCAATTTACGCACATAAATTAAGTTGGTACAAAAGTTAGGTATAAAAAACACATCAGTTCGATAAAAATTATCATTAAATATCACAGTTTCTGCATATTCAGTATCAATGACATTGCCATTTGGAAGTTTAACATGGATAATATTAATTCTAACTAAGTGAGTAAGCATATGTTTGGAGTGGCACACGTGACCCGTGGCTCTAGTGTCAAGAATCCAGTTATTATCGATAGAGGTAGAATTAGGAATGAAATTTATGATACCTGAAGTGGAGTCAGAGTAGTTGTTGAGATGATGGACATTTGGTGCGAAAGAAGTAGAGGATTGTTGAAGAAGGGCTAACAAAGCTTGTTGTTGTTCCATGGAGTAATACAGTGGGAGAACTGACTT